GTTGGTGGTGGATGGTCGGTCGCTTGGCAATCTCTTGAAGGAGGTTGTCTACGACCGTAACGTCAACGGTTTGTGCCCCCTCGTAGGTGGCTTGGACTAGGGTAGAGGGTTGAAGTTCCAAGGCCCTTTTCTCAAAGAACTCTGGTACCTCGACCTCTGCCTCGTACTGGTTTGGGTACAGGTGGTATAGTGCCAGGTCAGCACGAGAAGGAAAGTGGGCCACATGTTCTGCAAGGCGTGAAACAACTGTTAGGGGTTAGACAGAGACAGAGAGAGAGAGGGTCGATTAGTGCAGCCGAGAAGAGTGTTAGTGAGTGCTGGGCTAATCGTGTTTGAGGTCACGTGGTGTGTTCCTAACTGGGTTTTGAAGTGTGCCCTGCTTGTCCCATGGGGCTTTGTTTGTGTGGTTTGGTTTGGCTGTAACGGGCCCATCTGAGGGTGGGCTCTCTACCTTTTGTGACCTCGATTTGGTGCACTGCGGTTGAGAGTTTGTTTCCCACCCTGTATGGTCTTGACCAGCGGGGTAGCGATTTCCGGCGTAGTCTGGTGGGGCCGGTCCCCGCATGTCCTGGGGAGTGTGCCAAGGTGTAATACCATACCTGGTTTTTGACCTGGGGGTGGTCCTGCGGGTCGGTCCTGTATTGGTTTGTCCTCAGGGGCCGGGGGAGTTTCACGTTCTCGACACTCCGGTTTGGGGATACATACCTTAGTATTTTGGTCCCCGTCCGGTCCGTTGTTTCTACCTGTTGTGGTGCCTGACGTGTGTCATGGGCGTGTGCCAACATTACCCCCCCCCTGCTTCGAGGCACCACGAGTACCGACGAAGTGAGTGTATCGGAAGCAGAGTCTAACAGCCCATGGCGTATCGGCAGTATTAGGGCGCGGCGTTAAACCGCAGCGGTAGGCGCGGCGTAAGGGACGCAGCGTGAGATGCACCTGCGTGGGAGACGCAGCTGTGGCGTTTGAGACGCAGCGTGGGGCGCGGCGTAAGGGCGCGGCGCAAGGGCGCGGCGTTTAGGTACGCAGCGGCGTTAGAGGCGCAGCTGTGGCGCTTGAGACGCGGCAGCGGCATTTTAGACGCGCCAGCGGCGTTTGAGACGCGGCAGCGGCGTAAGGGTGCGCCGTGAGGGCTCGGCGCAAGGGCGCGGCGTTTAGAGACGCAGCGTGGGGCGCGGCGTGAGGGCGCGCCGTAAGGGCGCGGCGTTTAGGTACGCAGCGGCGTTAGAGGCGCAGCTGTGGCGCTTGAGACGCGGCAGCGGCGTTTTAGACGCGCCAGCGGCGTTTGAGACGCGGCAGCGGCGTAAGGGTGCGCCGTGAGGGCTCGGCGCAAGGGCGCGGCGTTTAGAGACGCAGCGTGGGGCGCGGCGTGAGGGCGCGCCGTAAGGGCGCGGCGTTTAGGTACGCAGCGGCGTTAGAGGCGCGGCTGTGGCGTTTGAGACGCGGCAGCGGCGTTTTAGACGCGCCAGCGGCATTTGAGACGCGCCAGCGGCGTAAGGGCGCGCCGTGAGGGCGCGGCGTTTAGAGACGCAGCGTGGGGCGCGGCGTAAGGTAGGAGACGCAGCGTGAGAGACGCAGCGTGAGAGACGCAGCGTGAGAGACGCAGCGCAGGAGACGCAGCGCAGGAGACGCAGCGTCGGTTTGAGACGCAGCGTGGGGCGCGGCGTAGCTTGAGACGCAGCGTAGGAGACGCAGCGCAGGAGACGCAGCGCAGGGCGCGGCGTAGCTTGAGACGCAGCGTCGGTTTGAGACGCAGCGCGGGGCGCGGCGTGGCTTGAGACGCAGCGTAGGAGACGCAGCGTGAGAGACGCAGCGTGAGAGACGCAGCGTCGGTTTGAGACGCAGCGTGGGCGCGGCGTAGCTTGAGACGCAGCGTCGGTCTGAGACGCAGCGTGGGGCGTGGCGTAGCTTGAGACGCAGCGTCGGTCTGAGACGCAGCGTGGGGCGCGGCGTAGCTTGAGACGCAGCGTAGGAGACGCAGCGTGAGAGACGCAGCGTGAGAGACGCAGCGGTGAGAGACGCAACGTGGGAGACGCAGCGCGGGAGACGCAGCGCAGGGCGCGGCGTAGCTTGAGACGCAGCGTCGGTTTGAGACGCAGCGTGGGGCGCGGCGTAGCTTGAGACGCAGCGTCGGTCTGAGACGCAGCGTGAGAGACGCAGCGTGAGAGACGCAGCGTGAGAGACGCAGCGTGGGGCGCGGCGTAGCTTGAGACGCAGCGTCGGTCTGAGACGCAGCGTGGGGCGCGGCGTAGCTTGAGACGCAGCGTAGGAGACGCAGCGTGAGAGACGCAGCGTGAGAGACGCAGCGTGGGAGACGCAGCGCAGGAGACGCAGCGCAGGGCGCGGCGTAGCTTGAGACGCAGCGTCGGTTTGAGACGCAGCGTGGGGCGCGGCGTAGCTTGAGACGCAGCGTCGGTTTGAGACGCAGCGTGGCTTGAGACGCAGCGTAGGAGACGCAGCGTGAGAGACGCAGCGTGAGAGACGCAGCGTCGGTTCGAGACGCAGCGTGGGGCGCGGCGTAGCTTGAGACGCAGCGTCGGTGTGAGACGCAGCTCAAGTAGGCAGTAGCAAAAGGCAGCAGGCTGAGGCAAGGCAATGCAGTTTTAGTGACAGTGAGGGTTAGAAATAGAGTATTAGGTTTGGTGTAGTACCATCAAACATAGAGTTTGGCAGAGTAGAGTGGCTATAAATTGGAGCAACAAAACAGCATGGAACAAACAGCCAGACAGTGTTAATGTTATCACCATGGGCCGCAGTGCGGTCTAGCCGTGGCATGCAGGAGGGGCAGAATTAAAATTGTTGGTTTTAGTTATGTATAGCAGTAATGTGTTCAAAATAGCAACATGCGCTAGAAGTCAACGCAGTAATGTAGCTTAACAATTATGTTCAATAGGAGAAGCTGAAGCAGAGTGTTAGCTGTACCAATTTATGGCAGTAATGTGGTTATTGACAAAGCAATGTGACATGCAGAAGGAGCAGGGTTACAGTATAGGGTTAGTTACCACAGTAATGTGCTATTCATAACGTGCAGTAACAGAGGCAGAGCCAAATTATTAGCTTTTGTTATGTACAGCAGCAATGTGGTTCTAACACAAAGAAAGAGAAAAGAAAACATATGGCATGCAGAAGGAGGGGTAGAATTAGCGTAGTCGTTTAGTACAATCAAACATCAAGTTTGGCAAAGTAGAGATTTTAGTTGGAACAGAAACAGCAAGGGACAACAGCCAAAACAGTGTTAATGTTACAACCACAGCCAATCACTTGATCATGAGACGTAGTGCAGGTTAAAAATCAAGACAGCAGCAATGTGGTCCCGGAAGTGGTTCACCGGGACCGGAAAGCGATTCTGTGTTAGACAATAAAGAGGTGCGGCTCGTTTAGCAGTGTGTAGAGTCGGGTTAGCACTTCATGATCGTCAAAACACAGAATCAGAGTGAAATAGGATAGTACGAGAGTATAGTACGTTTTGTTATTGTTAGACAACGGGTAGGCAATGCAGCAGAATGGTATTAGCAGTGGGGATGCGGCTCTGGCTTTTAGCGCGCCAGGGCCGGAAGTTAGCCGTGTGCTAAAAACAAAGGAGCGTAGCTAGCTAGTTTTGCCGGCAACGGCACGTTTTTAGAAGCAGTTTGAGCAGTAAACAATGAGTTTTAGTAACCGAATGCAGTTTGGTCAAACAGAGTAGCACTAGTTTTAACGGTAGAGAAGCAGCTTATAGTGTGAGCAGTAGTAGGACAACGATGTTGTCCGAGTGTAGCTTTGAGGCTTAGCAGGCCCGAGCGGAAGTTAGCTTAGCTAGAACAAAGGAGGGTAGCTTAGCCGTTAGCTTTCGAGCGCGGAGGTTTTAGCAGTAGTTTATACAACGAAAGTCTGGAGCGAGTTGTACGGTTCGCACAAGCACGTGTTTGTAGTGGTGGAATGGGGTTTGTATGTATGTACTGTAGGGTGTTGGTGTGTGTGTACAGCAGCAGGTTAGCAGGCAGAGAGAGTGGTTAGACAGAGTTAGCGTTAGCAACCTTTAGCAGAACGATAGCATCACATTCAAACAGCTGCCATTTACAGCCTTTTACACCGATATACTCGGTTACGATCCTGTGTGACTTAGGTCACAAAGGAGCAAAGAGGAGGTTTGTACGTTCGTGTTCTGGACACGGTGCACAGTGGTTACAAGGAGAAGTTTTTGCGCTTTCTCTTCAGAGGTTAGCGGCTTCGCATTCCACGCTGCCCACGGGGCTACACGTTGGAGATGCGTAGTACCTGTACAAAAAGTCAGGATTTGAGACTATATATAGTCTATTGGGATCACGAGCGCTTTTGTTGCAAGCGGTCGCGTTAGGGGAGCTCAAATTGTTGTCAAATTCACCATAGCAACGGGGTTAGAGGAGCAGAGGGGGTGCGGGAGTGGGGGGAAAGCGCTTGGAGCGGGCAGTGGCAGAGTTTAGCGTTTACGGATCAATTCACAGAGTACGAGGTTGATAAATTCTGGTCCATTTGCGCGGATCTCACAAACAGGGTACCATTACTGTAGGGTAATATTTATATGTAGTAGGGTAATAATACTCCAGATTATGTTATGAGAAGAATAGTGCGGCTAGTCTTCAAATCAGAGTCTGGCCGTCCTATTCGAGTGGGGATCTGCTTTATATTTATTTAGGCACCAGCAGTGTATGACACACTGCGCAGATCCAAACCAACTTTGCCTCGAGTCAGTCTTATAAATCTAATAGGTAGTGAGTACTTTTATCCGCCAGTGATAGTCCGAGATCTTAACAACACGACTCTGATAGGATTGAGTTAAAGAAAAGGGATTTATTGATTACAAAGTGGGATGAAGCATAACGAAAAGGGATTTCTGGTCACATTTGAGTAGGAGTTGTACACATTTCATTCAAATTGAACATTTAACATGGAGCAGTCTTACTTTGGAGGAGCGTAGAGGATGGAGAAGGGCTTTGGGTTGGGAAACAGCCCACGTGGTTTCTTTGTCCGGGCAGGCGGGAGTTATGAAGCCTGCTAGTTTGGTCCAGCTGCTGGTGCACGCGAGCCAGGGAAAGAGGCTGGTGATGAACAGTTCGTAGATTCCAACCAGAAAGGAGGCTTGCGTGAAAGCGGGAGGCCTCGGGGCGGAGAGGGAGGTTGCGAGCGTAGGCCGTGTAGGGGACACGTACCCACGGGGTGGTTGTTATAGTGGATTCGGGAGAAACAAGAGGAAGAACAATGGCGTGTGGGTGCTCATATAGGCTTCCCAGGGGGCGTGTCCATGCCGCCCCTGCCCTCTGTGGACAGACCCCTTTTACAACAGACAGTTTGTAAAGGAAACACACAGGATTGATGCTAATAATCATAAGACATGTACAAACACACACCGTATTTCATTACTTTGACACTGATACACACATATGGGGCACAATGCAGATTATTGGAGTACTGGACCCAGGGGTACCGGTTCGCAATTGTCCGTCCCGGGTGTGATAGTGTCCATTGTTCACAAGGGGGCGTCAGAGCGCCGCGGGGGAGTCTTTGATTGTCCGGTGGCAGGAGTCTGTGAGCGAGGGCAGGGTTGTGATCTTTGATCTCTACAGGCAGGCAGAGACAGAGGTGCTTATCCCCGTGGTGACTTTATTGCTCTTTTTGGCATCTGTAATCCTCATGATTGATGGCGGCTTGTGGCTGACCCCATGGCTCCTTTGAAGCTGTATCTCTCCATTTGGTCAATGGTAAACAGAGTGGACAGGCTTGGTCCTGCCCTAAGTTTAACCTTACATAACGTATGAATGGAAGCACGCAGGCTCCACTCCGAGCTCCTCCCTAACTCGCTGCATGACAGAGACTTCTTACTATAATGCATGTGCTTGACAAATTGTATATATTCAGATCCAGCACAAGACCCTAAACCTGAAAGAAAATGCTGTGTGGAATGCGATAGCCAAAGACAGCGACAGTCAATAATCATTGAAGCAATATATTTTTATTATGGACAGTACTAAACTACTTGTTGCTGATGTGGGGTTCAGCGTTCAATTTGCACAACATTTGAATTGGTAGTTTCGGTTTGGGTAGACTACAAATGTAAAACATCTAATTGCAGCATTAGCGCCCCCTACAGACTGAGTCAAGGTATCTAATTTGTTCAAAATGTCTGTAATTTTGCACATAATTCTGTTTTGGCCTCCTGATTAAAAAACGCATTGAGGACTATGCCTTGGGTTTTACCCTGTTGCTATGGCGATGACCAACACTCCCCATTCTATGTCAATGGGAAAATCTTTAAATCTCTGAAATGTACACCTTGCACAAATATCAAACCAGACTTGTTCGTTTCACTAATTTGGTCCCAATTCGCTCCACATCATCTATGCACATATAGAATCAAAAGTTAGCGACAGATTTATAATTAGTCAAACAGTCTGTGCGTGGCAGACTCGCAAATTGTTTATTTAACAATTGTTCCCATGTTATCCAATGGAGACTATATATATACTGCATATATATGTCACCTCAATATGAAAAACATTGCAGCATTAGTGCCCCCTACAGATTGAGCCTGCACTAAATCTATACATTTTTATTCTGGAATTACACCCCCACTTACTCTTTACCCCCAGTCACTCTTTACTCCCAGTCACTCTTTACCCCCAGTCACTCTTTACCCCCAGTCACTCTTTACCCCCAGTCACTCTTTACCCCCAGTCTCTCTGCACATTGTTTCCTATAAACCCCTTACTCTTGCACTGACTCCAGTCTCTGAAACCGGTCTCTCTGTAAAGTAAACAGGGAAAAGAAAGTGAGAGCTTAATTCAGTGGCTCGGAGATCAGGAATCGTCCTGAAGTGACATGACCGTGTTTGAAGCCTGTGTTTCCGTCACTGCACAAACTCCAGAGCTGAGGAGCTTAATGAGAAAAGTCTGGCACACCAACATACTGTCCACTGCATTTAGGCTTCAACCAACACAAGAAGAAACACGTTGTACATCAGAGGAAGCTGCGTTTGGACTCTGCAAACAGAAAATATAGACCCATACAGTACTTTTGGAAGATGAAAAATGAAAAATAACATACAACTTGAATCGTGTTACTGTAAAAGAAAAAAAAAAACTTTGTAGTGGTATTTTTGATTGCTTTGCCTTGGCTCTCTATGACCCCTGATATCACTTAAAAACATCAAAAACATTACAGGATTATTGTTCACATTAAGACTTGGTGCCTTTTGCCTGGACAAAGCTTATTTCTGCAACAAAAAAGTGCTTAACGAAACTAAAATTGATTCATCAGTGTCAGTGCATCCTGAAATGAAAGTCCAGGTTCACCTGTGATTGCAGTTCCACACTGTAAATAACTGGCAGCAGGTTATAGTTCTACTAAAAACGAGTACAATAAGTGAGGTGTGACTGTGGGACTAAAAATGGAAATTTGCCTCAAATCTAAAGTTTGGTGTATTTACAGCTTGTGTTTTTCATGAACACACACTGCCCCATAAAAAAATAAAATAATAATATAAAATACTATAGTGTTATTTTAATATTTCTTGGTATGGCGACTTCCCGTGCACATCCTCGGAGGCGTGTGCGTGCACTTTGGCCAAGAATACACTGGCTCTGATCTTATGCAAAGTGAAGAGTTGGAAAAGTGAAGCGGAAGAAGCGCATAATATGGCTGCGGGCGGTGAGAGTGTAGCCGAAGTGTGGTCTAGTTAGTAAACAAGCAGATGTGGCGGGGCGAGGAGGGAGTGCAGTGATAGACGACCCAGTATGGCAGCAAAAATATAGAAAAAATAAAATGAGAAAGGAAAAAGAAGGAAACAAATGTGTCGGTAGCATAACAATAAAATCTTCATGATTTTACAGAATATCAAAAATATGATGGTGACGGGAATGAGAACAAACAGTGCTGATATTATACAATATATTTTATAAATGTTGTTTTTGTTTAATCAGCAGCCAAATTGAATATTTGTGTGTGAAGATGGGGTCTTACTTCTTCCCACTCCATTTCAGGGCTCTATAGGGGTGAAGAGGTAAATGTATTTATGTCAAACAACAGAATCCTGTATGAACCTAGCCTGGCCTTAGCCATTCGTAACCTTAGGTCAATTATAATTTCCCTACATGTACTGTACGTCTGGGTCTAATCCTAGGCTAGGCTAAATGCTAAATCTACAGGCCAAAAGCCTCACTCACGCAGGCGCATTAGATACTCAGTATGTATACTCAGATCCAATTGTTTCAATCTGCAAACGGAGTAACCCCTCCCACCTGTTAACGGAGCTCAAGAAAAAGAAAATAGTACAATGATATGGTAAGACCAGGCTAGTAAGAACCTGGAAAACATAAACATAAAAAATAGAATACATTACATGAAACTGGAAAGTTTGGAATGACAAAAACTATACTGTACTATGTACTCTTACTCACACAAACTTTTAATGAGAGATCCCCATTACAATATACATCTGCAATAAAAACTGTTAGAATCAACATTTTGAGTATTTTAGATCTACTGTGAATACAATGTTCCTGAATGTCTTTCAGAAACATTTGAGTGTGATGAAAAAATTCAGGAATTCAGGAATTATTGTGCATTTATAAGGCACTGTTGCTGCTGGAGAGATAGCACAAAGTTAGGCAGAGCGCCAAGTGTAGTGTAACTAATGTGGGCCAAATTAGCTGCAGCTCCAGGCCTGAGCTCTGCTGGGAGTCCTCCTCCTCCTTCACCACCTCTCCAGCCGTTTGACTAATTAACTAGGGAGGAGACTGAGACAGAACTAAGTATTTGGGAGGGCAAAGTGTAAGAAGAAATTATAGGTTTGGGTAAGGGGTCTTTCGAGGACTTTTGCAAGAAATTACGTTTTGAAACAAGTGCGTGTTCCATACAATTTTGTCGCTCGCTGGCTGAGTGGGTTTCCTCTGGGCACTCCAGATGCCACCCAAAGCATGCATCACAGAAATTTCCACCAGCAACTGTAGTCCTCCTGACCAACAGCATCAACATCTAGAGCTGGGTCCCGTGGCTGACGCACTGTAGTGACCACTGCACCTGACAGGTTGCCCTATAGCCTATGGCAGCATCACAGCGGTGGCAAACTGGTTCCATAAAGGGACGGTATGGCTTCAGGATTTCATACCAATCAAGCAGGAGCACACCAGGCCCATTTCCCAGGTTGAGACTGGGCTTGTTTGATGAAATGGGTGCTACTGCGTGGTAATAATAAAATCCTGCAGCCACATCTGCTTCACTATTTTATGGACTCTCAATAACACCTTAAATGTAATCTTCTGTAGGTTGTGTAAACTTTATGAATGTTCATGCTGAAACTGTGTTTTGCAGCCCTCATGAGACAGTGGTTCCGCTGGAGGACCCCATCGTGACGGAGGTGACATCCACCCTGCAGGAATGGGCAGTACTATGGAAGCAGCTCTATGTGGTAAGCAGATTTCTGTTACAGTTTCTAAAGTACCTTGAATGGAATGCTATACAAGTAGAAATATCATATACCTAACCCTATCCCAATTCATTGCTTTAGTAAAATATATTTACCATATTACAGGCCAAGAGCCAGCACTTAAGGTAAATGTGCTGCTATTGTCAATCACAACAAGTTTTAGACCTCTGACCTGGTATAGCCTCAGTTCAACCTGGAGAGACTACAAGAGACGAGATGCGTTTAAGAGTTGTTTATTTTATGGATTGAGTTTGTTTATTGGTTTGGAGCTTAGGCCCCGGCTGTGGCCGTGCTCTGAAGAGATCTGCGCCTGGGTGCAGATCATGATCCCCCGGGGCCTAGACACTGGTGGTGGCAACAAGGCAAGGTGAATGTGAGAGTGAAGAAATCCTGAGGCGGAGGTGGGGAGGAGGTGGTTGCAGCTTGAAGTCCGTTTGTGAGCTGTGCTCTGCTTTGCTCTTAAACGCTGGCTTGATTGACACGGCTGCGGGGAGTTGATTAAGACAGGCTGAGTAAGGCGTGGTCAAGCCTGGTGGGATAACGTAGGTAGTCTACCATGCTGAACCTCCGCTTAAGCTTCATTTCAACCTGGAGAGACTACAAGAGACGAGATGCGTTTAAGAGTTGTTTATTTTATGGATTGAGTTTGTTTATTGGTTTGGAGCTTAGGCCCCGGCTGTGGCCGTGCTCTGAAGAGATCTGCGCCTGGGTGCAGATCATGATCCCCAAAAAGAGAGCTTGGCTAGCGATGCGTTTGCCATGACTTGGTTGCTGCGTTTATGGAAGGCGCATGGTGTGAGTGACTGTTTCCGTGCGCGAGCTCGGCTCTAGCGCTAGGCGTTGGCACGCGCACGAGCTCGGCTCGAGTGCGCAGCGTAATGTCCGTGCGCGAGCTCGGCTCTAGCGCTAGGCGTTGGCTCGCGCACGAGCTCGGCTCGAGTGCGCGGCGTAATGTCCGGGCGCGAGCTCGGCTCTAGCGCTAGGCGTTGGCACGCGCACGAGCTCGGCTCGAGTGCGCGGCGTAATGTCCGGGCGCGAGCTCGGCTCTAGCGCTAGGCGTTGGCACGCGCACGAGCTCGGCTCAAGTGCGCGGCGTAATGTCCGTGCGCGAGCTCGGCTCAAGCGCTAGGCGTTGGCACGCGCACGAGCTCGGCTCGAGTGCGCGGCGTAATGTCCGTGCGCGAGCTCGGCTCTAGCGCTAGGCGTTGGCACGCGCACGAGCTCGGCTCGAGTGCGCGGCGTAATGTCCGGGCGCGAGCTCGGCTCTAGCGCTAGGCGTTGGCACGCGCACGAGCTCGGCTCGAGTGCGCGGCGTAATGTCCGGGCGCGAGCTCGGCTCTAGCGCTAGGCGTTGGCACGCGCACGAGCTCGGCTCAAGTGCGCGCCGTAATGTCCGTGCGCGAGCTCGGCTCAAGCGCTAGGCGTTGGCACGCGCACGAGCTCGGCTCGAGTGCGCGGCGTAATGTCCGGGCGCGAGCTCGGCTCTAGCGCTAGGCGTTGGCACGCGCACGAGCTCGGCTCGAGTGCGCGGCGTAATGTCCGGGCGCGAGCTCGGCTCTAGCGCTAGGCGTTGGCACGCGCACGAGCTCGGCTCAAGTGCGCGCCGTAATGTCCGTGCGCGAGCTCGGCTCAAGCGCTAGGCGTTGGCACGCGCACGAGCTCGGCTCAAGTGCGCGGCGTAATGTCCGTGCGCGAGCTCGGCTCTAGCGCTAGGCGTTGGCACGCGCACGAGCTCGGCTCGAGTGCGCGGCGTAATGTCCGGGCGCGAGCTCGGCTCTAGCGCTAGGCGTTGGCACGCGCACGAGATCGGCTCAAGTGCGCGCCGTAATGTCCGTGCGCGCGCTCGGCTCAAGCGCTAGGCGTTGGCACGCGCACGAGCTCGGCTCGAGTGCGCGGCGTAATGTCCGTGCGCGAGCTCGGCTCTAGCGCTAGGCTTTGGCACGCGCACGAGCTCGGCTCTAGCGCTAGGCGTTGGCACGCGCACGAGCTCGGCTCGAGTGCGCGGCATGCTGGAAATGAGGAGTTGCCACCACCAGGAGATGCATACGTACTTATAATGAGAGGAGGCGCTGGGCTGCCAGAACGGATGAATGTGGTAGAGAACCAGGGACCGAGCTTCTGGAGAGATGATTGGGGGAATCCCAGGGCAGCAGTCCAAGTGGCTGCTCCTATCCGGAAGGAGTGGCGGGTGTAGAGAAAGGAAGAGAGGTTACATGCAGGGAGCAGAGGTTTTGAATTTGTTCAGACCAGGGGGTCGTCGAGGGATTGTTTAAGGAGTAATTATAGTCTATGAATGTTGATAAAATGTCCATAGATGTTGTAGAATGTTAAAGTATCCTGGATCATCGCCACGGGCCTTCTAGTTGGACACTAACTGTCCAGACCCTCCTGTATGGCAAGGAAAACTCACAAAACCCCGTGGGGAAAAAAGTGAGAAACCTTCGGAAGACCCTACATTGAGAGAGGGAATCCACTCCACGGACAGACAGGCTAGTCGTCCAGGACCTAAACTACAGAACAAGGACCATTGCCAATACTCCTTTAAGGATCTTCTTATGAGGGTGGAGCAGTGTGACTCGAAGTGGATTTTAGAGAATGTATTTAATGCTGATGTAGATGAGGCAGTGACGGCAGTACCCGCGATGCTGATGTCCAGAGACTGAGAGTGTGCAGTGAGAGGGAAAGGAGAATGCTGAATGAAGGATGAACTGCTGGTGTTTAGAGCGCTGATATTCGAACATGATTCCACTTGAGGAGACTAGAAGGTGAAAATGAGATTCATGAAGTACACTTACCCAGGAAGATTGATGTTCGATAGGAGATCTCTGGACCCCCAAAAACCAACGCACAAGGGCCCGGTCAGAATGAGGGCCAGGGTGCGTCAGGTAAGGCGAAGCGTGAGACAGGCCCGGCGGCAGGAGCCGCACCAGGAGAGAATATGCCTGGGGAACATGAGAAGGAGCACCGCCTACAGCCACACAGAGTGCACGCAGACCGTGGCGGGCAGTGCAGCACACCAAAAGTCAATGAATGCGGCCTGGGGAAGATAGCCGGCCAGGTTTGAAGGCCACGCCGAACAGTACTCACGCAGTCTTAGCAGGCCAGCGTTGCAGCAGGCCACCGTCGCGGCGTTGTAGCAGAGCTTTGGTGCGGCGTTGCGGCATCGCGTTCCTGCGAAGCTGAAAGAGAAACCTCGAACCACTATCACTCGAGTGAAAAGGACCAACGGGCAGTGTCAGACCGCGTCTTCAGTCAGACCGCGTCTTCAGTCAGACCGCGTCTTCAGTCAGACCGCGTCTTCAGTCAGACCGCGTCTTCAGTCAGACCACTGACCTGATCCGTCGATGCCGGCTCTTCCCGTCATTGTGAAGCAGAACTCTCCCAAGCGTTGGATTGTTCACCCCCCAATAGGGAACGTCCATGGTCGACACTGGTCCCACGATGACTGGATGAGAGCACACGAATGCGTCGAAGCGTGGCGTCGAGAATGCGGCAGGAGGCGGACACCTACGTGGCGTCAAACAGCGGCCACCGGCGATGAAGCGTGCGGGCCGCCGACGTGCTGCGATGAAGCGTGCGGCCGCCGACGAGCAGTGATGAAGCTTGCGGCCGCCGGCGAGCTGCGATGAAGCGTGCGGCCGCGGACGTGCGCCGTCGTTGAAGCGTGCGCCGTCGTTGAAGCGCGCGGCGTCGTTGAGGCGTGCGGCGTCGTTGAGGCGTGCGGCGTCGTTGAGGCGTGAGGCGTGCGGCGTCGTTGAGGCGTGAGGCGTGCGGCGTCGTTGAGGCGTGAGGCGTGCGGCGTCGTTGAGGCGTGAGGCGTGCGGCGTCGTTGAGGCGTGAGGCGTGCGGCGTCAAAGCGCGCGGCGTTGTTGAGGCGTCGTTGAGGCGTGCGGCGTCGTTGAGGCGTGAGGCGTCGTTGAGGCGTCGTTGAGGCGTGAGGCGTCGTTGAGGCGTGAGGCGTCGTTGAGGCGTCGTTGAGGCGTGAGGCGTGCGGCGTCGTTGAGGCGTCGTTGAGGCGTGCGGCGTCAAAGCGTGCGGCGTCAAAGCGTGCGGCGTGGAGGAGGAGTCGAAGCGTGCGGCGTCGAAGCGTGCGGCGTCGAAGCGTGCGGCGTCAAAGCGTGCGGCGTGGAGGAGGAGTCGAAACGTGCGGCGTCAAAGCGTGCGGCGTCAAAGCGTGCGGCGTCAAAGCGTGCGGCGTGGAGGAGGAGTCAAAGCGAGCGGCGTCAAAGCGTGCGGCGTCAAGCGTGCGGCGTGGAGGAGGAGTCAAAGCGTGCGGCGTCGAAGCGTGCGGCGTGGAGGAGTCAAAGCGTGCGGCGTGGAGGAGGAGTCAAAGCGTGCGGCGTGGAGGAGGAGTCAAAGCGTGCGGCGTGGAGGAGGAGTCAAAGCGTGGCGGCGTCGAAGCGTGGCGTCGAAGCGTGGCGTCGAAGCGTGGCGTCGAAGCGTGGCGTCGAAGTGGCGTAAGGCCAGAGCACTGGGCAAATGAACAGCACAGAGGGGCCCGGCCGCGCACCGACCAATCAGATCAATGCAGTGGACAAAACTTACAGTCCACGGTCAATTTAGACAGAGCGAAGGCCAATGCAGACAACAAATGTTATAGTCCATGGTTACACTGACAGCCTGAAGGTCAATGCCGTGGGTAAAATTTTCAGTCCATAGTAAAACGGACAGCCTGGAGGTCACTGCAGTGGGTAAAATTTTCAGTCCATAGTAAAACGGACAGCCTGGAGGCCACTGCAGTGTGCAGAATGTTCATCCCATGAGTAAAACGTACAGCCAGAAGGCCAGCACAGTGGTTAAAACGTACGGTCCATGGTGAAAACGGACAGTCTAAATGCCAATGCAGATGGTAAAACGAACAGCCTGAAGAGCAATGCAGGGGGCAAAAACACAGCCTGCGAGACAATTCGGCGGGAATAACTGACACGCCGCAGTTCAGTACGTTCATGGTAGTGCGGAAACAACGAAACCGACACTGTACC